GAATGTGTGCCAAGAGCGTTGCACACGCGTGTGCAAGGGGATGGGTGTGCAAGGATCGAGCACACGCGTGTGTGCACAGGGAAAGGTGTGCAAGGATGGGGTTGCACACGCGTGTGCAAGGCCGGTGTGTGCTGAGATGTGCACGAGGAGGGGTTGCACACGCGTGTGCCAGGGATGCGTGTGCAAGGAAAGCTGTTGCACACGTATGTGCAAGGGATGCGCGTTAGGATGGGGTTGCACACGCGTGTGAGCGCAGGGGGTGTGCAAGGCCGTGCTGCACACGCGTGTGCAAGGATGCGTGTCAGGACACGTTTGCGTGTGCGAGGCGGATGGGTGTGCAAGGGTGGGTTTGCACACGCGTGTGCTCACAGCGATGTCAATCAGGACACGGTTGCACACGCGTGTGCGAGGGGGATGGGTGTGCAAGAACCGGGGCACGCGCGTGTGCAGGATGTGCGTTAGGACGGGATTGCACGTGTGTGCAACAGGAATGAGTGTGCAAGGCCGGGGCGCATGGGATGCGTGTTGGAGCGTGATTTCACACGCGTGTGCAAATGGATGGGCGTGCAAGGACTTGGGCGCACAGGATGCGCGTTAGGGCGGGGTTGCACACGCGTGTGCAAGGGGTTGCACGTGCAAGGAAGGGTCACACGGGCGTTGCACACGCGTGTGCAAAGGGACACCCGTGCTGATGCGCACCAGGGGAGTTTTGCACACGCGTGTGCACTGGGGTGTGTTCTAACCGGGTTACACACGCGTGTGCAAGGCAGGTGTGCACACGCGTGTGCAAATGGACATGCACATGATCATTGCACACACGCGTGTGCACAGGGGTGCGTGTGCAAGGGTGAGCTGCACACGCGTGTGCAAGGATTGTTCACACGTGTGTGAGTCCAGGGTCGCACACGCGTGTGCTGGGCCGTGCTACACGCATGTGCGTGAGCGTGTGGGGGGAGGGGCGTGTTGCACACGCGTGTGCACAGGGGGGAACCCTCAGCTCTGCCCATCCCCCCCCTCCGAGGGGATCCCTGGACCCCCAAAATTCTCCCAAAATTCTCCCAAAATTCTCACAAAATTTTCCCAAAATTTTCCCAAAATTCCCACACAAATCCCCCAAAATTCTCCCAAATTTCNATGTGTGTTAGGACACGGTTGCACACGGGTGTGTGCAATGGGAATGGGTGTGCAAGGAGTGGGTTAACATGTGTGTGCACAGGAATGTGTGCCAGGAGAGTGTAGCACACGCGTCTGTGCACAGGGATGGGGGTTAGGATGGGATTGCATGCGTGTGTGCAACAGGAATGAGTGTGCAAGGGATCACGCACACGTGTGCGCTCAGGGATGGGTGTAAGAGCAGGGTTGCACACGCGTGTGCAAGGCGATGGGTGTGCAAGGCCTGGGTTAACTCACGTGTGAGCAGGGTTGTGGCTTAGGACGGGGTTGCACATGCGTGTGCAACGGGAATGGGTGCGCAAGGCCGGGGTGTGCAGGGATGTGCACTAGGAGGGGTTGCACACGCGTGTGCAAAGGGGAATGGGTGTGCAAGGACTGGGTTAACATGCGTGTACGCAGGCATGTGAGTTAGGATGAGTGTTGCACACGCGTGTGCACAGGAATGGGTGCGCAAGGCCGGGGTGTGCAGGGATGCGCACCAGGAGGGGTTTGCACATGCGCGTGTGCAAGGGGGATGCGTGTTCAAGGGCCTTCCACACATGCTTGTGCACAGAGATGTGCACAGGGATGGGTGTGCAAGGTGGGTACACACGCGTGTGCAAAGGATGGGTGTCAGGGCACAGTTGCACACGCGTGTGCAAGGGGAATGGGTGTGCAAGGATGGCGTGCACGGGATGTGTGTCAGCACAGGATTGCACACGCATGTGCAACAGGAATGAGTGTGCAAGGATTGTGCGTGTGCGCAGGGGATGAGGGTTAGGATGGGGGGTTTGCACACGCAGAATGCACATTGGGATGGGATTGCACGTGTGCGTGTGCAAAGGGATGTGTGTGCAAAGGCCTTGCACATGCGTGTGTGTGCAGGGATGTGCACAGGGATAGGTGTGCAAGGTGGGTACACACGCGTGTGCAAAGGATGGGTGTCAGGGCACAGTTGCACACGCGTGTGCAAGGGGAATGGGTATGCAAGGATGGCGTGCACGGGATGTGTGTCAGCACAGGATTGCACACACGTGTGCAAAGGATGGGTGTTGTGGCACGGTTGCACACGCGTGTGCAAGGGGAATGGGTGTGCAAGGGCCATGTGTGCGTGTGTGCGCAGGAATGTGTGATAGGATGAGCGTTGCACACGCGTGTGCAATGAGAACGGGTGTGCAAGGGCTGGGGTGTGCAGGGATGCACGCTAGGAGGGGTTTGCACACGCGTGTGCACGGGGATGCGTGTTAGGGCACGGCTGCACACGCGTGTTTGCACAAGGATGGGTGTGCAAGGACGAGGTTACACACGTGTGTGCAAACAGATGGGTGTGCAAGGCCGGGGTGTGTGTTAGGACGGGGTTGCACACGCGTGTGCAATGGGATGCACGTGCAAGGATCACGCCCACGCGTGTGCACAGGGATGTGTGTTAGCGCAGGATTGCACACGCGTGTGAGTACACAAACGGGCGTGCAAGGACCATGCACACGCGTGCACACGGGACGGGCGTTAGAACGCGATTTTGCACGTGCGTGTGCAAGGGGAATGCGTGTGCAAGGATGTGCATTGGGATGGGGTCACACGCGCGTGTGCAAGGGGACGCGTGTGCAAGGGCCGGGGCACACACGTGTGTGTGTGCAAAGGAGTGTGAGCACAGGATGCGTGTTAGGACGGCATTGCACACGCGTGTGCAAGGGGATGGCGGTGCAAGGACTGGGTTAACACGCGTGTGCACAGGGATGTGGGTTAGGATGGCGTTGCACACGCGTGTGGGCACAGGGATGTGCGTGCAAGGACGGTGCACACACGTGTGAGTGTGTAAGGATGGCTGCATGTGTGCGGCAGGGGGCGGGCAGTGACGGTGCACACGCGTGTGCAAGGGGATGCACATTAGGACACGGTTACACACGCGTGTGCAAGGAAGGGTTACACGCGTGAGTGCACAGGAGTGTGTGTTAGGATGGCGTTGCACACGCGTGTGCACACAGGGACGCGTGTGCAAGGACGGGGTTAAACACGCGTGTGCAAAGCCATGGGTGTGTAAGGCCAGGATGCACACGTGTGTGAGCACGGGTTGTTTGTTGCACACGCGTGTGCAAAGGGACACGTGTGAGCACGGGGAGGTTGAGCGGGAAAGCCTTGCACACGCATGTGAGGGGTGTGCAGGGGTGTTTTGCACACGCGTGTGTGCGGGGGCGGGCACTAGGATGGGT